AAAAAAAAAAAAAAAAGGGTTGGGGATTTAGCTCAGTGGTAGAGTGCTTGCCTAGCAAGTGCAAGGCCCTGGGTTTGGTCCTCAGCTCCGGAAGAGAAAAAAGACATCTCCTGATGTTGTCCTCCCAGGTAGTGATACAGGTGTGTATCACTGTGCCCACAATAATTTCAAATGACAGAAATCAAGAATGGCTTAATTCTAAGGTTTGCCAAATGTAGCAGTATATTTTGTTGGTAGTAGTTTGTTTTTGAGTCAATCTTAGAATGCAGTGGTTAGTACAAGGAAAGTTCTGGATTGTTTTCAATGTACAGAGGACTCCAGACCTAGTTATCGGGGGGTTCCCATGATGACATCTGATCATGAATGCCTGTGATCATAGCATCCAAAGTTGGCCTCCTAACACCCACACACAAACACAACATTGCTGTGGTAGTCAGATGTTTAAGGACATTTATTATATCAACTTACCAAACTCAGATTTGATTTTTAAAAACTATATTCGAGCTCAGCATTTTACATACAGAGTTTTTCACAGTTCACGTCTTTCTGACTAAGGTAAAATACCGTGTGTAGTTGGTCTTTTCCCATCATTCTGCTGCTCTGACACGACCCAGTACCCTCAGTCAATCCAACACTAGTCAAAGGTTACATTTCTCTCCCTAGCACCCTTTTGTGCACCTCACTTCCTCTCTTTATGTTCTCGAGCATAGCTTCGAGCTGTGGGGTAGTCATTTCCAAGATCCACAACAATCACCTCCTTAGAAAATGTCACTCCTTTTAAAGGTCTTTTTTGGCTTTCCGTAACTGAAGGAGTTCTGTGGACATGCATGGGTGATTTCTCAGCGTTATCATCCTGCAATGAGAATGGGACAAACCATATCAATGCCCGACCTATGAACACAATGAGCCCATGTTTTAAAGCATTGTTAAATGTACATTTTTGAACAAGAGATAGAAAAAAGTATTTTTGAATGGCTTAGGCAGCAGTGATAATCCACCATGCCTGGCTGCCAGATTCCTACGGCTAGAGAAGCATACACTGACGTGGCCTAATAGTATTTGATGGCATGTAGTCAAAGCTGAGAGCAATATGGCCCAGCATTCTGTCTTGGACAGGGTGTGGAGGCATGGCGGGAGCTCACGCAGGTTCTGGAAGGGATTGTGTGCCAATGTCAAGGACTGTAACAGGACAGAGGGCTTGTCCTGGACTCAGCAGCAGTGAGAATAGACACACATCTGTTTTTCATGTGACATGAAGCTTAGAACCTAGATAACTCACAGGGGCTTTATAGCTCTAGATCCCAGGAATCTAAGAAAAACAAAAGGGAGGGGAAATATTAAGAAACACAGGAACATAAGAATGAAAGATGGCCGGGCGGTGGTGGCGCACGCCTTTAATCCCAGCACTCGGGAGGCAGAGGCAGGTGGACTCTGTGAGTTTAAGGCCAGCCTGGTCTACAGACTGAGTTTCAGGACAGCCAGGGCAACACAGAGAACCCCTGTCCAAAGGAAAAAAAAAAGAAAGAAAAAAAGAAAAAGAAAAAGAAAAGAATGAAAAGGAAAAGCCTCCAGCGTGACAAGACAATACTATATCTATTATTATCCCTACATGGGTGACTCTCTCCCCAAACCTAAACAGCCCCTGAGCGCAGAACACACATCACCTCGTAGGTGGCTTCTTGAGCATTCACAGCCCCTAATGTTTGTCTGTTTCTGTCCTCTTCTCCCTCGAAGTTCTCTCCTAAGGGCGTGGCTTCCTTACTCTGTCTTTGGACAAGAATACCAGGTCTCATTGGCATGTCCATGTTTACAAAGTGCAGTAGGACCCTGGGAAAATCATTAACAGTTTTTAAAAATTCATGCATCTTAGTCAACATTACCACATGTAAAAATGGCTAGCATATCCAGACTTACTTTGTTCTGGCGCGCGTGCGTGTGTGCGTGCGTGCGTGCGTGCGTGCGTGTGTGTGTGTGTGTGTGTGTGTGTGTGTGTGTGTGTGCATGCACATGTGCACACTTATCTGACTGGATGTGTACAGAGATCAGAGGTTGCTAGCTGTCATCTGGATGTCACGTCTCCACCTTGTGTTTTAAGACAGTCACTGACCCTGAGGCTCACAGCTCATCTGGGCTGGCTGGGATCTGCCTGTCTCTGCCCTCAGCTGGGTTACAGATGTTGCTGTCACACTTGGCTTTTTGTGTGGGTGCTGAGGAGCCGAGCCCAGGCTGTCACGCCTCCCACGGGGCCCGAGCCCGCTCACTTGTCGTCGTCCTCGGGTTTGTTCTCTGCATTGGCCGCCAGACAGTCTTCCCCTTCGTTTTCATCGGAGCAAGGGAGCTTCCCCGCCTCGTCAGTGTTCTTGCCTCTGAAACTAAAAACAACAAGTACAACTTCAAAAAAAGAAGAGTCTACGGTGCAGGATGGGACTTTTACCAGGCAACTGGCTCGTTTCAAACCCGGAAGTGGAAGAAGTAGCCATTGCTTATTCCATTTTATTTGGGTCTTTGAAACAGGGTCTCTCCTAGCCCAGGTCGATCTTGAAGTCTCTATGTTGTGATACAGAACAACTTTGAATCACTAATCCCGCTTCCACCTCCCACTTCCGGGATCGCAGGTGTGCACTGCCTGCTTGTCTTCCTTGCTCTTTTTACAGCGATTTTGTGTTATTTCTAGATATACGTGCTACTGTGACTTGAAGCCTAACCGGGTCATCAACATGGGTGTGTACCATTTATATAAAAACACCGCCAGCAAAAAGAGGATACAGAGGAAGCAAATGAGAAGGATGATGAAGAACGTGATTGCCGTGGTCTCAAAGGCCATAGGGTTCGTTTTCAAAATCTCGTCCATCCTGTAATCCTCATTTTGTCCAAACATTCTTCCTGGCCCAGTTTGAATGCAGATTTCTTGTTCTTTACGTTTTCTAGAAACAGAAGAATAAAAGACTGCTTTCATTGTTGACCTTCTGCTCTGGTGAGCTTCATAGAGGATGCCTGGCTTGTTTTGGAGGAGGTGACTCACGTTGCCTAATTTTTCTTCATAAAGGCAGTAAGGGGCTGCGGTGGCCAGAGGGGAGACTGAGCTGGGATACTCTGCTCGCTCAGCTAACCTCCCCTTACCCCAAAATTGCCAAAACCCAAAGGAGAGAAGACTTGGAGCAGCTGGAGACGGACCCAGCTCTCCATTCTCTCTCCTCAGTGACATCACAGAACCATGGAACTGTTGAGCTGGAGACCATGATCTGGAGGCAGGAAGGCCACTAACCCCTCTGCTCTGTGCATTACAGCTGTTCTCTGAGGTGTGGGGCGGCGGTCACTCAGCACTGTCTTGGCCATTTTTTTAGACCATGATTTTCCAGATTCCAGTTTTCTTCTCCCAACTTAAGCCTCATTGACTGCTCTTTTTGTGGATGTGTTCAACCAACCCACCTTCTTATAAAAATCCCCTACAGAGATGTTTTTAGATTTTCCTATAAAAATCCTTCTCTATAGGGGATTTTTATAAGAAAAATCCTGTGTATTCTTAAGGACTTTTCTCCTTAAGAGAATGTAAAGGCCTGTGTTATTTATCCCATCTCACTGTGCTGGCCTCCTAGGCTCGCAGCCAGATACTGTGAAGGCCACAGCTCAAGGAAGCAGGAATAGAACAAGATGCTAAGTCAGAAGATGAATGCAGGCCCGACCTAACCAGGTAGAGGTGAGTGATGCCCATGGTAGGGAGCGTAAGGGTAGAGCTGGGTTTTCCTAGATGGAAGCAATTTGAGAAAGTGTAACAATACTGGTCATGGTAGCATAGGCCTGCAATCCTAATCCAGCAATTGGAGTGATGGGGGCTGAGGCAGGAGGATTATGTTTTTGTTTTTTGGTTTTTTTTTTTTGGTTTTGGTTTTGGTTTTTCGAGACAGGGTTTCTCTGTGTAGCTTTGCACCTTTTCTGGATCTCGCTCTGTAGACCAGGCTGGCCTTGAACTCACAGAGATCCGCCTGCCTCTGCCTCCCGAGTGCTGGGATCAAAGGCGTGTGCCACCACTGCCTGGCTGAGGATTATGTTTAAAATAGCACATATCAAAACCCTGTTGTAAAACAAAGAAGAAAGTCTGTAGCCACAGAGGTTGAGGTGAGTCTGGCTGGGGGTGTTGCTGGAGGGCTTCTCTCCAGGTTCCACCAAGCCCCGCAGTCCCACAATCCACTTATAAAATAATCACTCAGACACTTA